TATGATAATTGGTAATTAAACCGTGTTATCAAATGACTTATTAAATGAATATGGGTTGTGGTTTGATAGTTGGTCCGGCATGCCTAGTAATGGGTTAGGCGCCATCACGACCGGTGTTTGGGGTCGTGACATGTATCTCTATTTTCTTTACTTTCTTCTATTTTCTTTCTTCCTCTTGTTTTCAAAACGTGCTTGACCAATTTGTTTAGTTTAGGCCATTCATTAATTTTGGTTCAATCCGTTGTTTAGGCTAGAATCCAGTGATTAGTTAACTTTAGTTGCCCTTAAAACTTGCTAAAACTGTTTAATTTATTGGTTGATTAGGACATTCCTTTTCATGTCTAGCTTAATTAATTCATGACATAATCAGTTCAATTACATGATAATTAGTTTAATTGCATAAGTTATTATTTTAATCAATTTTAAGTTAAATAGGTATTAAAACGAGTTAGTTGCTAAATGGTTTGATTTTGCATTATTGTTTCTGTTTTAGCAATGGTTCGTTTATCAGTAACCAGAAGTTTAAAAGGGACGTTGGGATTGGAAATAGATAGTTGAGTCTATTGTTTGAACTTGTTTGCTCTTCTGGGGTGGCTATTTGTGATAAACAGAACTTGAGGGGGGGTTAAAAGGCATAGGGAATCATGTTCAGTTAGGTGAGAAGCTTCTAAAAAGGGTCAAAGTGTAACAAAGACAATTGAAATTAGGTCAGATTTGGGGTAAAATGATTAATTTCAGAGGATAAAAGGGCTCGAAAAAATTTGAGTAAATATCTGAATGGACAGCTATCTAACAACTGTCCAATTCAGTTTTAAAAGGTGTCATTTCTCCTTATTTTAGGGACTGCATTCTCCCGGGAGTGCGTCACTCCTTCTCCCGGGTTAACAGAATTCCTTAATCGGTCTTCTGTGTTTGCAGACCATAAATAAGAGTCAATTTCCTCAATTTGGGATTTAAAATAAACCAGTGACTTGGGACACCATAAATTATCCAAGTGGCGACTCTGATTAAATAAATAATTCTATTTCGATCAATGTCACTTTAATTGGAAAAACTCCCTATCCCCTCAGAAAAAAAGGAGGTGTGACACTAGAAAATATTTTTATGGAAAATGAGTGATTTTTTCACTTATTTTCCCTTGTTTGGTTGGTGAATGAAAAAAAATTTCCGAAAAATATTTTCTAGTGTTTGGTTAGAGAGTAGAAAATATATTTTTAGGAATTTTTTTATGCTACCCTCCTCACCCCCTTTCCCCAAGTCCCCATGTTTCCTTGCTCCCCCCAAAATACCCAACGTTTTCAGGACTCTATTTTCTTCAACAATTTAATTATTCTTCTAAAATTCACACACCCAAAGGAACTAATGTGTTGTTTTACTTTTTTACAAAAAATAACGTTGAAATTTATGCTCCATAACTAAAAAGAAAATACTCATTTTTTGGTTGAAAAAGAAAGTACTCTTTCTACAACATGAAAATAAAATAATCACTTTATTGAAATAAAAGAAAATACTTTTTCTATATTATGAAAAGAAAATATTTATTTTATTGAAATGAAAAAAAATACTTTTTGTATATCATGAAACGAAAATATTTATTTTTGAAATGAAAGAAAATACTTTTTCTACATCATGAAAAAAAAGTATATTTTTGTTAACATGAAAAATACTTTTTTATACCATGAAAAGAAAATACTCATTTGTTGAAATGAAAAAGAGTGTAAAATAGTTGGGATAGGGTGGGAGAGGTTGGGGTGGGGTAGGGTGGGTAGGTGGGGTAGGGGCGAGGTGGGTTGGTGGAGATGGGGAATATGTGGGGAAGCTTGCAAAGAGTTTTGGAAAATATTTCCCTTTTCTTGATAGGGAAAATATTTTCCTCTAATTGGAGGTAAATGAGTTCATGAGAAAAATATTTTTCAAAACATTTAAGCCAATCAAACACGAAAAAATTAAAAAATATTTTTTGAAAAATATTTTCCTTCGTAACAAATACACCCTTAATATTACTTGAAGACTAATGGAGAAAACATAAATTAGAAGCATAAAAATGCTTATGATCCATGGGATTACAATGATAATGGACTAAAAGTGCCCTTAAATGGTATATACTTGGAGGACATTTTGTGATAAGTGTAATATCTGAGGAATGCATTTAGCCCAACTTGTGAACATAAAGGAATATTTTTCTTTTGTGGTTGTTGACCGTCAGCTATTGGACTAATGACCCTAAATTACTAACTAAGGCCTCATTTTTTTTTTAAGATTAAGACGTCTAAATCCGAATACACATCTGAATGTCAAGATGTATATAAAGATTAAGACGTCTGAATCTGAATACATATCTGAATATATTAAGATGTGTATTAAGATCTAAATAGAAATAAAGACTAAGGCTGCTTATCGGGCGGATTGGGCGGTTATTTACTCTTAACGGTTTGACTTATCGGTTATCGACTTTTAAATGTATTAATCTGCTAGCCACCCGATAAGGTATCAGGCGTATTGGTATCGGTTTAGCTCTTATCGGGCGGTTTATCGGCCTAGCAAAATTATCAATGATTCTAGATTTATAAAACTGAAAATAAGTGTTCATGTTCCGAGTCAGTCCCCAATTCCTAAAGTTCATGACTGCTCAAGAAAATACCGCTAAACAGTAAACTCTCACACGACTGAATGCTTAGAGATATTTGCTCTCAAGTTCAGTTGCAGCAGCGGATGAGATCCAATTGAACCCCACCACATTAAATCCAACACTAAGCATTTCGCCTAGGAATCCGGCAGTACTAGCAGAAAAAGGAAAATAAGCAAAAAAATTAGGACTTTGCCAATGAGTATCCCTGGAATAATATCTCTATTGAGATAGCCTGGATTGACTTGGCTACAAACTGGATATTTTTCAATGTTTTGATAGTAATCAGCAAGGAAGTTCACAATCATGTGACCTTGCTTTCTGAATTCTTCAGAAAAGGATGAAACACTGGCCTTTGGAACATATAATGATAAAAAGTCTCACTATTATCATAATTAAACTTTGCACATTGATAAAGTATCAAGAGGTAAACATTGGAATTCCCCATTTGAAACAACATAGTGTAAGCAACTAGATAAAAAATAAAAAAGTACAGTAAAAGGAAAAAAGAACACATTGAAATTCCACTTTCTTCTTATCACCATGCTACTGTACTCATATGTACTGCAGCAGAGATGATAATGCTATCCAAGGATGTGATGATGGACATCTTGTCAAGGTTACGCGCAAAGACATTGTGCAGGTTAAGGTGCGTTTGCAAACAATGGAGAAGCTTAATCTCTGACCCATTTTTCAAATCCCTTTACAGGGCATGCTCATCTCTTAAACCCAGTTTGGTTTTTCTCCAAGAAAAATGTAGCGGTACCTCTACTACTAGAGTAAGTATGTCATCAGTTGATTTTGATGGGAATCATAAGTAAGAGTACCTGGATAAGAAGATAAGAAGCCGCGAGAGGGAGATACGAGATGGCGAGAGGGAGACCGGTGGCTGGTGGAAGTCGACGACGACGAGGACTGGTGGGCGGTGGCTGCTGGTTTAGGCGTTAGGGTTTCTATGATTTTATCTTTTGATTATTTAGGAATGCGTTAGTTTTAGAGAATAGACTATAGAGACAGACGGGTCAACCAGCAAGGGTTTTTGTTTTTGATTATTCAAGGTTTTTTTTTTATATTTAATATACATAAATAAAAATAAATATTATATATATATATATATGTATATATATAAATTTAACGGGTTAACGGATTATCCGTTAAGAAAATTGAATAATCCGCCCCCAAACCGATAAGCCGTTAATAAAAAAATTTCAATCCGTTCCCCGTCCGTTAAGCCGTTAAGCCGTTACCAGTAAGCCATTAAGCTTCGATTTTCGGTTTCGGATCAGTTTTGAACACCCCTAATTAAGCCTGTTTGATTTTAACATCTGAATATATAAATTTTATCTTTATTTAAAAATTAATAAGCATAAAATTCAAATGAAATACTAACTAATCTAATATTCTATCAATAAATATATAGTTTTTTAATATATGATAGTTGTTGGTGGTGATGGCTAACGGGTAAATGCCGACTAGAGGTAGTGGTTGGTGGTAGTTTTGGTTGATGATGGTGGTTCATGCTAGTAGCTAGTAATAATATGTAGTGGTGGCGATTATGATTGAGGATGGTGGTAGTGGGTGGTTATAGTTAATAATGGCGGGTGGTGGTAGTAGTTGTGACTGAGGAAGATGGTGGGTGGGTGGTGGTAGGTTATAATAATGGGCAGTGCCGGCTGTGGTTGTTGATGGTAATGGGGTGGTCAGTTGTGGTAGTTGAGGTGGATGAGTGTTGATTGTGGGTGAGAATGATGGTGGTCGGAGTGGTAGGGATAGTAGGTGGTGATGGCGATAATGGTGGCGACTATGATTGAGAATGATGGTGGCGTCGTGGTGGTGGTAGTGGCATGGTGGTAGATGATAATGGTAGGCGGCGGCGGCAGTTAATAGTGAATATGTGATAGCATCTTAGTGAAATTAAGTCGCTGTTATAGATCTTAATCATACAGACCTATTCAGACCCATTAAGTGATTGTGAAGTAAAAAAACAAACACACTTAATGATTAAGATCTGAATAATTAAAATCCAGACTTTAAGAACAAACGCACTTAATGTCTGAAATCTGAATGATTAAAATTCAGATATTCATTAAGTGCAAACAAATGAGGTCCAAAATGACTCTTTACATTTAATTGTTAGTGAAAGGGACTAAATCAAGTCAATTCATAAACTTAAAGGAGCAGCTGTGTTATTTTTATCGCACATTCAGCGCTGATGAACGTGGATTGCGTTTTTTATCTCTCTTTTCCAGATATGAACGCGGAGTGGGTGAAAAATCAAATATAACCTGTGTAAAAATAATTAAAAAATCTCGGAGCGTGAAAGTCAGTTACCGTTGGCGCGTAAAGAGATCGCACAATAAAGCCGCCGCATCCACGTCATAATTACCCCCACATCGACATCGTTTCTCATTGTAATCTCCGATTGGTTCGTTGAAGATTCAAACGGCAGCAGAATTTTAACAAAATTAGCCATCAAAAGCCCCTTTAATCAATGATTATATACTAATCCATACCGTTCTAAGCTCAGGTGTACTTTAGCTACAGGTATGTGAATTTCTCCTTATTTTATATGAATTTGACGGTTTCGTAAGATACTGAATGCGTTACAGTGAAATTGAATGGAGAATTCGGAGGATCTTTGCAACATAGAAGGGAACGGAGATGGAAGAGGCAATAACGGAGCTTGCTGTGCGCCGTCAACATCAGCGGCGGCGAGCAGCTCCGCGTACAAGTTGTTCGGCCGGCAAACCTCTTTTCATCAGATGATGGGCGGCGGAAAAGGTAAATTCCCTATTATTTTCCTCTTCTCAAGTCATATACATAATTTTGGAGAATTAAGTGAACTCACGCTAAGTCTGCTGTTTAGTTTAACCATTACGCCGAGTTACATAGTGATGAAGCTGATATTGTGTCATTTATCTTTACACAGAAATATTTTCATATAGCTTTGATCAAGTATGAATACTGACTCTGAAGTTTATGGGTTTATATTAGCTTACCAATATAGAATATGTAATTTATGACCTGAGGAGTAAGATTGGGAGCATGAGAAGTGGAAAACCATTGTTGTATATGATTCTGTTTTATGTTCATGCTGGAAATGCCTGGCACTATGGCCCTGCAGCTTTACTGTTGAACTCTGTTTCTATTCGTGATAGTGTAGTAAACTGGAATTGAACTGCTCCTGTTATTACTGGTTGATTCACTTTCTGCGAGTGTTTTCGCTCTTGCCTTGTATGAGGGATGTGCTCTAAGAATAGATTTGGGAATTTGTATGAACCGGCATTCTAATGAAGGCTTAGTTATGTTTCACGGCAATCTCAACATCTGTTACCTTCATTTGTTCCTCCACTTCCTCCTTGATAAGTACATTAGTTATCTCACTGTCAGTGTTGAGTGTTTTACATTTTCGTTAATTCAGTCTTCTGCAAGTTCATTCTTGCTGCTGGATGACTTGTAGACTTACTTGTTATTTCACTTGGTAAAAGCTGCTGATGTTATATTATGGAGGCGGAGGCGTGTCTCTTTTGGCATAATCATTGCTGCTACAGTCGCATGGCTCATCTTTGAGTATTCAGAGTTACCTTTCTTATCAGTTTCTTCTGATGTCTTGCTGATTCTGATTGTTCTCCTCTTTCTCCGTGCAAACTATGCTGCCTTCAGGAAGAAGTATTATTCTCATACTCATCTCACAATATGTTTAGATTGTCTCGTTCTGTTTTTCGTTCTCCTGTGCTGAAGTTCAACTGATATTTCTCTTTTCTATTTTCGACAGACAACTCCCAACATTACCAGAGTTAGTCTTGTCAGAAGAAATGGTCAATAATGCTGCGGCATCATTTCGGGTCAAAATCAATTATATGCTACTCATGGCTCATGATATCACTCTTGGCAAAGATTTCAAACTCTTCTTCAAGGTTAGTGCTTATTAAGCATGAGGGCACTATTTTTTATACCAGAAGGAAAAGAAAAACAAAAGCATGAGGGCATGATTAATGTGGTAAATTGTCTCTGACAATGACAAAGAAATTAAACTGTAACCTCCAAAAAGCATAAACGATGACCTTCAATTGGTCATTTAAGTGTTTCGAGCAAATGCAGAAACTCAAGAGAGAAGTAGAATCAACCTGGAAGCATGATGAGAAAGAGAAAGTGTAATAATGTCACACATAAGATAAACCTAATGTCAATGGGATTCAATAGTTTATTTATATAAAAAAAATTGTTTTTACCCTTTTTGCATAGTGCAATTTTCGGCATAGTGGATTCAATTGAACCCCCTTCACCAAAAGTAGTTGCGCCCTGGCTGTAGATCTACCCATAGTAGCTGCTGATGGTTTTACTTATGGTTGTGGTTATCATCTCTTAAATGTTGCCTCTTACTTTCTTACATGTTACCTCTTACTTTGTTCTAGGGTACAATTGTAGGTTATAATTTTGACAAATGATTACGCATAGAGCTGAGTTAGCCAAATTATACATGTTTGCAGGTAGTTATTATTCTCTGGCTTCTATCTGTTATGGGAAGCCTAATATCTTTCTTCACGCTTGCATATATAGGTATGTGCCGGTTTCGTTACTTGGCTTGTATATCTTGGTGAATCATTATGGATATATGATTTCGCTGAATTTATTCTTCCCTACACTATTATCGCTTATATCTTGCTGTATTTGAGGTCTTATGTACTTAGAGACTCTAATTTGCTAATAGATTGATGGGAATTTGTATGGAGAGGAAGAGTGACTTTCACATGATGTTCATTTACATAGAGAAGACATATGATATAGTAAGAAAAGTTCTTTGGTGCATGTTTGATGAAAAACAAAATACATATAGAAGTATGAATACCTTAAAGAACATGTATGAGGAAGTGATTACATGTTTCAAAGAGTTGTAGGAGATATAAAGGTATTTCTTGTATCCATGGGTCTATATTAGGGGTTTTTATTGAGCTTGTACTCGCATTCCTTAGTCATGGATGATCCAACTAATAGTACGAAGAATGAGGTTTTATGGTGCATGCCATTTGTGGATGAATTGTATTAATTGACAGAACTAGTGAGGGAGTCAACCAAAAGTTGAAATTTATGGAAGCACTTTAGAGAATAATAATAATCTTAGGATAAGTAGAAATAAGACATAATGTATGCAATAAATTTTGCTTCCATGAGAAGAATGAAGGTGAAGTGAGATTAGACCGAATGTGGTGCCTAAAGTTAAACAATTCAAATGTCTAGGTTCAGGCTTTTATGAATGGCATGATATATGAAGAAGTAACACAAAATTTAATGGTCATACTCTATAAGCAGAATATTGATGGAACAGGGTGATTGGCTATGAATGGGAAAAGGACTAAAGTTTTCTCGGTAAATTCTTCAACCGAACTTTATTGAATAGAGGAAGGCAATATACCTATACCTATCAGTTTGGTTTCCTGGAGCCCCAAGGAATGTATGCTTTTTCACTCGGCTGTGAAAAGGAGATTCTTAAGCGAAAGTTTTGGAAAAGAAGAGAACTGCATACGTCAGTTGGTTCTACATGTACAAAAATTAAGAAGAAGATGTTGACCATTTACTGTTACACTGTCAGATCACAAGCCAGCTATGATTGACTATGCTGAACTCTTTTGAAATACTATAGTCAATGCAAGCCATAGTTACGGATGTTTGTTCAATTAGGCCTTTAGACGAAGGCAAAAAAGGTTTTTGAATGGATAGAGAACCCTTTTACTGTTAGTCAGAGTGACAGAAGTCACTTTAGAGAACACTTTTACCATTAGTCAGAGTGACAGAAGTCACTATAGAGAACACTTTTACAGTTAGTCAGAGTGTGCAACTAACTGATAGAGGGTTAAAATGACAGAAGTCACTTTAAATAGTTTTGCCATGTCTTATGTATGTGATGATTGGAGGCACTAAAAGGGAATGAGGTATTTTTAAAATCACACGGAGAGAAGTGCCAGATGCGGATTCTCAGTTGTAAAATAATCACATGGAGGAAATTGCCTTACACACATATAATCTCTCAAGATCAGTTCGGACTTCTCTAAAAAAACATTAAAAAAATGGAAATACCATGTATGAGAGACTAAGGCTTACATTTACTAAAGCTCAAGATCAGTTCGGACTTCAGTTGTTTTACATTTACATTACGTTCTATGTCTGCTAGGAATAAATTTGATGATTAGAGAACCCTTGATTTGCCTTATAGGATAAATTAGTCACTAGTATTGAAATAAAATAGGTTTGAATAGACCGGACTGGACATAGAAGACATATAGTCTACCCCAACTAGTATGAGATTTATGCACAGCTGATTGATTAGTTACTTTTGTTCTTTTGAGGCTTAGAATTATCATGTTTGCTAAGAATATCTCAAGATTGCATGATAAATCTTGAAAAGTGTTATGCACTTATCTGGTGTCCCTGTGAAAGCTCTGAATATTATTTAACTCGGGTGAAAAGTGACAATATGGAATGAATACGCTTGAAAGGAGGTGCATTTCTTTGTCGAATGATTGCACTACACTATTCAGCTGTTTTTACTGGTTTCCATGTCTATCCTTATTTGTTGATTCACTATGAGCAATTCTGAAGATCCCATCCAGTGATCCAGATGATATTGTCCATCCTTATTTGTTGATCCACTGCAAGCAATTCTGAAGATCATATCCAGATGATGTAGTACCACGCCATCTCTATAAACATGCTCTCCATTAGTCGGTCCCATTTTCTGCAAAGAATGTGTTGCATAGGTTTACTCAAATCATATTTCACAAAGTTCAACAACAATTTACATCCGCCATGATTTTGAATTGTATTTGCATACACCATTGTCTGCTTCCAATTCTTATGTGGTGTCTACTTTTGCTTTTGCAATTCCCCACAGGAACAATTATATTCATTACTGTGCCTGCCTTATATAATAAATTTGAAGACCACGTGGATCGATATGCTGGGAAGATCCACAGGCAATTTTCAAGGCACTACAGAATAGTGGATGAGACCATTAGTAGGTTGCCCCGGAGTATTACCAAGGACAAAGAACTATAAAATCTTTTTACCAAGTAGGAGTATGTTGATTTTGATAAAAGAAAGCTCTTAGTTTGGTGTTGGTCCATGAATAAGATGGAACTCGCATTGCATCATTCTGGTTTGTCTCTCCTCATTCTCGTTTGCCATAGAATGAGGGTGAATGACTTGAGCCTTTATTTGATTTATCTTGACTCTGCAAATCTTTTCTGTTTCTAAACTTTTAAGTTGGCATTGTCAGAAACAAGATAACGAGGGCAATTGTCACCGACTTCTCTGTCCTAGTGGGCAGGTGATAGCGCAAAAACTTGAAACATCTGGGAGTTCTTTCCATCAAACTTGTTAACTTTGATGGAAACAGACGTGTTCGGTGGTTCACACATGATAGCAATATATGAGATGCTATGTTGACTTTTGCATTATATAAATGAAAGAAGACAATATTATGATAATAATATATGGTTGGATTAATTAGGAAATTGTTCGACCAAAAAGTGTTAGGCTTTTGTATTGAACTAATTAGATAAGAAGATTTGAGGCAAATCTTAGCCAAAGATAATTTATCCTAAATCCGAGATAGGGGGTAAGAATAAGCAAGCATAACTGAACATAAAATTTGATTATAACAATGGTTGACTCCCGTCGCATAAGAAAAGGATGATGATTTTGATGATATTAAATGATAACAAAGAATACATAGATAAAAAGGGTCACTGTTCTTGAATAAGGTTGAACCCCCATACATTTGACACAATGCAACTGATGATGGATAATGAAGATCTGAGCTTCCTTTCTCCTTATTCCTTGACCAGAGATGAATTATCTCTCCTTCTCTCTCAAGATATGTCTACTTGTGTATTTGAGTTTTTGCCAGGCCCCCCATTAGCTACTTTCTCCCATGATATTTATACAAAAACACTTTCTTTACCCAACGGTCCTTAACCGGAATACTTAAGTTCTAGGAATATCCTATGGAATATTCCTCTAGAAATGTCTAAGGGTTGAGCTAGCCGTTCAGGCTGAATGGAGTGCTCGTCCTTGACCGCAGTTGAATCACTCGTTAGTATATCGCTTCTCATACGTGACCTCGGCTCGGTCAGCTCTTGGTCGTCCTCCCTTAAGTGAGATTCTTCAGTTCAGATATCGACCTATATAGTTAGTCCCTCCGCCCGTCGAGGTTGCCTTTGAGAAATCTGAGAACATTGGCCGAAGAGTGATTCCCCTTTGTTGCGTGGTGGCGAGGTGACGCTTCAAAAGCCGCACCTGACCGTTACGTCAGTTTGAAATGACACTTTCTTCACGCGTCATTGTGGCGCACATTCCCCATACGTTACATCGTTTCCCTCGCTCCTTCCGTTTCGAAGTTAATGAGGCGACATTAAATGTGGATAGGCACTCCAATTTTGAATTGTTGTGTTTTTAGAGCCCTTGAAGCTCGAGTTCTTTTCTTCTTCGAACTTTTCAGCTTCTGTGTTTTCTTCCTCCCCTTAGTGTCTTTTGCTACTGTTACCTCCTTCATCTGTGTACTTCTTCTTTGCATAATCAGAAAAATGGCCAACGCTCCCTGTGACCCTGTGATGTTGGCTGCGGATGCACCTCACCACGAGGAGAGGGTGGCCATGGTGGAAGATGAAAACTTTCCCACCGTGGACGAGATAATCCCACGTTCCGGGAAAGCTAGATCAGACTTCAAAAGCTTGCCTGAGGATGAACCTGAACCTGTCATCTCCACGATGGATGCGGCGGTGATCACTGCGTTTAGAACTACGTGGCGAATCCCGGCCCATGTTAAAATAGTTCCCGCTGGTAGGAATGTAGTCCAAACACAACGCCCGGGGTACTTGCGCATTTTACGCGTACCCGTTTGTCGTCGGCGACACGTTTCCCCTTCCCATTTTGGCAGATGATTTTTGCTGCTTTTATAATGTGTGCCCGGCTCAGCTCTCTCCGTATATATACAAACTTTTCCTCATGCTTATCAAATACGCGGAGTTGCCCAGCCGTGGTATTTCTCTACGCCATGTACTTCACCTCCCAAGTTTTTACAGGGGCACGATGATTCATATGCGCCATCGGGGAACCAAGGGGTTGGTAGTGAAGATGGATGATAAAACTAATCGTCGCTTTTGGGAGATTTCTTCTTCGTGAAGACGACGCACGTGGTATCGAACCCCAACGGATTCCCCGAGGAGTGAAATTTTGCTCGTAAGTGTTTCCCTTCTAAAATGACCGTTGTTTACTTTGGGGGTAATCTGATCGTTCTTTTCTTTCTTCTCAGCCCAACGGGATCCTCCTTCACCAGTTGTAGACATTCGCGACTGGGTGAGTCGGGTTTTGCCCCATACTATGGGGATTTGCGAGTGGTCGCATTTCCATGAGAGGTTCGGACGTAAACCTGTGGCCGGTGAGTCACCTTCGGCTTTGATTGCTGGCTTTTATACTGTTATTTCTGTCCTCTTATCTCTCTTCTTTGTTTACAGGTCGGAGGGCGGCAAGGAGGGTGAGGGCTCCTACGCCCGCTTTTTGCCAATTGGGTATCTCGGCCGAGCCCGTTCTTGCTGTGGCTGCAAGTGAACCCGCTCAAACCGCCATTGTCTTGCAGATTTCGACCTCGCGTGTACTTAGCCGCCTGGCTGACTCTCCCTTGGCGGGGGTCCCGGCTCCCGCAGTTCATTTAGTGGACAAGTCGTTGGAGGACGAAGGCGATGAGGCTCCTTTGAAGAGACGAAGGATAGCGGCTGAGACCGAGGGACCTTCGAGAGGTGAGCTTGTGTTGGCGGTGTCTGAACCGGACGGGGGTACTGGTTTGGGTGTTGAGACCGTGCCTCCTCTGATCGTGGAGTTGGCTTCTTTGGAAGGGGAACAGAGGTCGGAGGTCGCTGCAATCATTCCGAGTGGTCCGTCGACTTCACAACCAGCCCGTGCCTCTTCTTCAGCCAGCGAGAGGGCAAAGGGCGTGGTCGTAGATGACTACGAGTCCGGTTCGGACATTGACCCCGAGGACATAAGAATGTTTGAAGAGGGGTTCACTCGGGTGGAAGAAGAAACGGACAGCTCCTCCCGCGTGATTGAGATTTCCCCAAACTTAGACTTGTTGGAGGATACAGTAAGCCTGGTGCCCCAATTTGCCGTTCTTTGTTCCGCTACCGAAAACAGGGCCCTTCAGGAGATCAGCGATGCTGGCCTGTCACGGCGCGTAGCCGAAATGGCTTTGAGGGTGAGTTCTTTATTGCTTTCTTCGTTTCACGTCTTCTACTTTCGCTGAAGTCTTTTCGTCCTCTTTTCTTTCTTCAGACTTTCATTTTGGAGACTGAGAGTCTCCGCCGCGAGGAGAAGCGGGCTGCTGTCTTCCAGAAGGTGGTTTCAAAATACTGCCGATACCGTGACAAGTGCCGCGAGATGCATGCACGACTTAGGGAGGGCGGCGATCTCAAACCCTTAGGGAGGAGTTGGAGCGAAAGGACGAAGACCTGATGCGGTGCATGGGCAGATGCAGCGAACTTGAGAGGCTGCTTAGGGCTAAAAAAGAAGAGCTCGAGGTGGGCAAGGGCATTTCGGCTCAGTGTGCTGATCTTCAGGCGAAGGTGGTCGCCCTGCGGGCGGAACTTGAGTAGAGTGATTCTAGGGTCGCCGGTCTAAGCGTTGAGCTAGCGGAAAAAGCGACCGAATTGGAAGGGAAAGTGGCGAGTTGGAGAGAGTCGAAGGGGCTCGGGTAGCGGCCTTGGCGAGGGCTGCGGCATTGGAGGATTCTATCCGCGTTCTCGGGTCTGAGCGCGCAACTGAGATGGGGACGGCTACTCTGAGGGAGGCGCGGCTTGATGAGAGAATTGGCGAGCTTGAGGGAGAGGTCTCGACCCTGGGTGATCAAATTGCTGCTCTCGAGGCTGAGAGGGCTCAATTGTTGGCTTCGACTCCTTCCGCGTCCACCTCTACTGACGTTCCTCGCCATTTGTACGAGATGTGGATCCATGCTAAGGTTCAGCGGGATACATATAAGAGCTTGTTGGCGGCGGGGAATGTTTCGGAAGCCGCTTTTGAAGAAGTTCGTGTGAAAGCGCGTGAGGCTCGGCTTGCCTGCGCTTATGACCCCGCGACACCGGAGGTCGATAGTGATGATGAGGCTGAGGACGGGCTTACCTTTGATGATGACCGTTCCAATGGAGATGGTGATGGTGGAGATGACGTCGCCGAACCCAGCGGAGAAAGAGATGATGGCGTGGATGGGGGTGATGCTGAGTGAAACCTTTGTACTTTTAACTTGTCTTTTGTACTTAGTTTTTTTTTTGTACTTAGTTGGTTGGGTGGAGGTCCCCTTTTGGCCCTTTGTAAGGCACAATTTTTTTGAATAAAACAGTTGGTTCGTCTTTGATTGCATGTCTTTGGTTCTTCCTTTTTTTTTTCCGGACTTCTTGGATTTACTCGCAATAAGTCCCTTTCTTTTGGTAATCGATTCGAGCGGGGTTGAATTTGACCTGGTAATTTGGGCGAGGTCGAACTTGACTTATTAACTCGAGCGAGATCGTATTTGGCTTATTAATTTGAACGAGGTCAAATTTTGACTCGTTCATTCGAGCGAAGTCGATTTTTGACTCGCTAGTTCGATCGAGGTCGACTTTCGACTTGTGAATTCGAGCGAGGTCGAATTTTGACTTACCAGTTTGAGCGAAGTCGAGTTTTGACTTGTAAATTCGAGCGAGGTTGAATTTTGACTTGCTAGTTTGAGCGAAGTCGAGTTTCGACTTGTGAATTCGAGCGATGTCGAATTTTGACAGTGCTGGCGTGATGTGTAAACTTGGTGGAGTTACGTAAGATATTTATTGGAGAAGGTTACATGTCACTGTACGATCTGTAGATACGTTCGAGAAGTCCCAGTCTATCTAGTTCCTTCATCGCTCCGCCTGGAGAGGTAGTTGATAAACTGGGTGGTGAATTTCACACTCAAGCCGGGATCACGTATGGGCGAGATCAGATTTTAACTAGTTGTGCCGTCGCATAGTTGCTTTGGCGAGTGCGTGGATGGGTTTCACGCACTTGTGTTCTTTCACTGGAGAGATTCGTATGTTCTCCGAGATGGTGATTCGGTCCCAGTCTATTCGGACTTTTCCCTTTATGGCGTTAAGTACCAATCTGTTGGAGAGGTGGCTTCACTCATCCGTTGCCTGCAGGATGATATGGCGTGGAGAGTGTTGTTCAGGATGTTATAGTCAATGCAAGCCATAGTTAAGGATGTTTGTTCAATTAGGCCTTTAGACGAAGCAAAAAAAGGTTTTTGAAAGGATAGAAAGCACTTCTAACGATAGGAAAAAGGCTAGACAACGCTTTTGTAAAATGAGAGCACGTCTTTGTTTCTAGACAATTTTTGGAACACCTATGAAGTCCCTGTTAGTGTAGATGATTGGGTGCTCTTTAAAGTGAATCATAT